TTACTGTTTCTCTTAAAATCTGGCACAAAATTACTGCTCTGTATGAAAATTATTCTACACACTGGTAATAGGAACCTCTGGTAATAAGGAAACTATAACAGACTCACATCAAAGTCCAAAGTCATGTTATATACCTAAGTGCCAACTGTGCCCTTATTCAAAGCCAGGAACATAAAAGGTCTATCAACAATAACTCATAAATTCACTATAAATATGCCTCTGCGATCTTACATAAAATGATTAATTGAAATTCTATATTTAGTAGGCAAGATCTATTTGGAAAAAACCCGGATATAAACTTGATATTTTTCAGGCTTTGAATGAATATTTTAATCTCACAATCTTCTTAGATACCTTGGATTAGAATCCTCAAAAATGCTAATTTGGAACACACAAAGATAGCAGCATATAAACATATTTAGAAATACAGTATATCAGTTGCTGAACAGTGAGTTTGGTTTCTTTTCAAATTACTAAAAAAGCAGCTGGGATCAAGAAAAGAATTTCTTATTTTGCAACTTGAATTTTATGATATACAATTTGGTTTTGGTGACATTTTAAATGCAAAAGAACGCTGAGTCTAAGCATTTAATATACAATCCAATTACTTACGTTCTTTCCATGAAAATCATTTGTTAGTCTTACAGGTCCAGACTAATTCTTCAGCCTTCTTTCTACATTATTATTAGTACAGGGTTCCTCCCTCTACTCCTGTTCCTGCTGCATTACCCTTTTTTTGCCCAGAATATTGTGGAACAGAGTCCTAACCACTTTTGGAAACTTAATTGTCCACTAACACCCTTGCATACAAGCCAATCACACAGAGGCATGATTCAAATAGTCAGCTGCTTGACAACTTAACCTCTTTGCAATATCCAAAGTGATCAAAGCACAGTACATCCGGTTATTCTGACCAGTATATGGGAGCCTAAAAGTCTTCCAAAATTTGCAGAAGTCAATAAAATATGACCGAAATATCACTTTTAGAGAAACAGCAACTGTCATGCATAATGACTTTTATTTTTCCTGCAAGCTCTCAGAGTTCCTGCTGGGCCAGTGTTTGCCCTCTCTGCACAACTGAGGATTTTGAGCAGCTCTGTTGCATTCTTTACTTCCTGATATTTCTAGTTCAGTGATCTGTATTCTGTAGAGGGAGATTGACAGAAATCTCATTTGACAGTGTGAGAAAAAACAACTTTTTACTTAACTTAAAACAAATTCTACATGTTCTATTCACAAAGTTTTTATGGGCTTCAGACTGGTGTCGGTGGGGCAGTGATTAATTATTGTTATTTAATATAATTATTAAATATAATTAATTTATAATCATATTATTATTAAAGCATAATAAAAGCAGCAGAAATCCACATATGCAGTTTTTGATCTTTCTGAAGACAGAAAGTTGTTGCAATGTGTTTTACCTTGTTCAGAATGTTCTATATTGGGGATGAGCAACCTTTGGTATCTGAACTGCAGTTAATATATTCATAGCACCAGAGTTACATCATCGAGGCCAACCTCTTCCTCTGTGCAGGAATCCAAATAAAAGCATTTCCGACAAATGGTTATCCAACATCTATCCAGAAAGGGAAGCCTATCACCTTTCTGGGTGACTGACTGCATTATTTTCTGTAGCTGGAACCAATATTTTAGCCGATGCAGCCTAAAATTGCATTTGCCTTTTTTCAGTTGCATCATATTGTAGACTATATACAGTATTCAGTGTGCAATCAGCTACTATATCAAGATGCTTTTTACAAATACTATTCCTTAGCCATAAATGCTAAAATGCCTTTACATTTTATTTCTATTTTCTGGGTAAGGAACTTAGTGTCTTTTAAATTTAATATTGTTATTTCAGCTCATTTCTCTAACTTATCAAGAGAATTTGAATATTATTTCTGTCATCTATGGTATTAGCTATTTAGTCCAGTTTTTGTATTATCTGCAGATCTGTTATGCATTCCTTATACATCATCATCATCATCATCATCATCCAAGTCAGTAATAAAAATGTTGAGAATAGATTACAGGGACAGAACCTTGTGGCCTGTTCTGTAAAATCTCGCTTTAGTCTGATAAAGAACGATTGATGGACACTCTTGGAGTGAGATTTTTGTGCCAGCCATGCTTAATTGATATGCCAATCTAGTTTACTAATAAATAATACACAGGATACTTTGTCAAATGCTTTCCTTTAATCAAGATATATTGTGTCTACAACATTGCCATAATCTAAGGAATTACCCAATCAAAAAATGAGATAAGTTTAGTATTTCAATACACATTCTTCTTAAATCTATAATGACTTCTTGTAATTACTGCACTATTTTCAAAGTGCCCAGAGACCTATTTCTTTTATTACCTGCTGCAAAATCTTCCCAGCTTTTGATGTCAGACTGACTGATTTGTAGTTCCCCAGATACTCCTTTAGAAATAAGGGCTATATTTGCCATCCTTCAGTCATCTGGCAATTTATGTTTTTTGATTCTACATGGTCCAGATTCACATGATGTGAGATGGGTGACCATGCAAATATGATAAATAAAAATAAATTTATTCATCTATCTATCTATCTATCTATCTATCTATCTATCTATCTATCTATCTATCTATATTCTTCAAACAAAAGCACCCTATGATAAGCCTATTTGAGAGTTTGATTTACCCTTTTCATGCAGTTCCTGCCTGAGAATAGTCACAGATTCATAGGATTCTAAGCCAGAACACCTCCTCGCCAGCAGTCAACACCCAGATAAGCAGA